CCCCCGCCTCTCCCCCCCCCCCCCTCCCCCCCCCCCCTCAGAGGACCTGGGTTAGAACCCCTATAGTATACCTACTCATTATTTCCCTAAAACCCTCCCTCATTTCCCTCCCAATATCTTCCTATCCCCCTCCCATTTCTTTCCCCTGTGGCCTCTCTACCTTTGAACTTTTCTTAAACACCTCTCTCCCTTCCATCTTTTTTTCTTCCTCTTGTTTCTCCTTTCTTTTGTTCCCCCTCTTAAACATCTTTAACAGCGGCATACTGTTCGCTCTCTTTCTTGTCAGCCTCTCCACATTCTTCGGTCTCCCTACCTTTTTCTTATCTCCTCCAACCCTCTGTCCCCCTCTCTCACCCTCCTTCTCCTCCACTGCTCTCTCCTTCTCTGCCCATTTTTTCCGTTCTTTCAATTTTCCCAGCTTTCCCATCTTGCCTACATCCTCTATACTTTCTATTCTTGCCGACTGATGTCATCACCTTTACTTCTTTCTTCCAGCCTATATACCCCTCTAAACTCTTTTACTATTCTATGGCCTTTTAACTTCTTTAGTCACTTAACTTCTACCCGCTTTCTGTCCGCTTCCTTAGACCCCTCTCTCCCCCTGTTCTACCCCTTCTCTCCTCCACCTCCACTTGACCCTTCTCAACCACTCCGCCACTTCTCACTTCCCTCCTCCCTTCTCTCCTTCGATCTGTTCTCTCAAAAATCACACTACACGCACTCAACTGTCACTCTCTTTACCGGAAGTCCCTCTATATATGAAATTGTAGATATAATTAAACATGATTATATATAAGTAACATGTATTAACATATATGTACAAATTTCATACATAATTATATATAAAAATGTAAAATTATATATAATTTTATATAATCACTTTGACGTCATACGATTCCATTTTCATGACAATTTCATGGCAAAGATGTGAAAATGATATCATGTTGACATAAAAATTATCTTATGTTTTACCTGGGAGTGATAAGACCTGCGAAAGCGCTTTAGAGTGATTGATGAAATGTTAAGATTACTAACAAGTTTTGTAGTTATAATTGCAAAATATATCCAAGGTATCTATTATGAACTTCGGAATCAATTCCGATCGGAATAATTCCGTTTCCCCTAGAAAAGACAATAGAAATATAGGAAATAATTGAATGTTTCTGATCGCAATTGATTCCAAAGAAGTCCATAATAGGTACCCAGATATATATACATGGAACTACAATACCGGTCATCTGTACAAAAATAATGAGGAGCCCCGTTTCACTCCACGCTGCGAACGTTTCGAAATGCCGTATAATTCAATTAGTTACGCTGATATCTTAAACGGATCATTCTGGAGATACACGTCAGCACGACCAAATCGTATTTTTCACTATTTTTTTTATGTAGTCCTTCAAAGCGTAATCTAATGGTCTCGTAATGTTCAGAAATGTCCCCTGCTTATAAAATAACTTTAATTTTGCCTGCCATAGCTGTCCTGTACATTAATTGCACAGTTGATGGAATGAAATGCCGGAAAAAAATAGTTCAGATAACCAGATATAGATTTTGTTAAGATCTGATCAGATATAATCAGATATAACGTTATATATGATTAAGATTTGTCTATATATAATCATATATAATTGTATATATTATATATGGACAAATCTTAATCATATATAACGTTATATCTGATTATATCTGATCAGATCTTGACAAAATGAATTTCTGGTTTTTATCTGAACTTTTTTTCCTGGGATGCTGTCTTATAACTTGTATAGTACATATTATAATTATAACAATGAGGAGAATCTATATATCTCATGTATATTATATTACGTAATATCGTAGTAATATTGCAATATTACAATAATATAACATGTTATAATGTAATATTACAATAATATTATCGAAATATTACTTTGTAATATTGCACTGTAATATTACAGTAATATTGCTGTAGTATATCAAATCCTAACCGAATATATAAAATTATATGTATATAAAATTTGTCCATACATAATTATGTATAATTAGGATGCTTCCACTTAGCGCGTCACGCGTCGTGCCGTCCTTCGCGAACCAATGAAATCGTCCCATTCTATTCGTCGTAAAGTTAGGCAATAAAATAGGACGATTTTATTGGTCCGCGATGGACGACGCGACGCGTGGTGCGCTAAGTGGGAACTCAGCCTTATGAGGCTCTTCGCATGCGCATCTCACTCGCACGCCGTCAGGAATCGGGCCACACATACACGTCCGCATACATGCAACCAAATCGTATTTTTCACAATTTTTTGTATGTCCTTCAAGTCATAACCTGATGCCCTCGTAATATTCAGTAATGTCTACTGCGTGCAAAATAAGTTTAATTTTCGGTAATTATCGACTATAACGGAGCACCCTCCAATGACCTCCTTGATATATATTATCAAGGACACTGTCCTGAGTGACAATCAAAAGATTTTAGCTCATTGGTTATTAAAAAATTATTAAAAAAGTTGCATATATGTAATGAGTATAATTTTTGGACACCGTATTATAAATAAAAAATCGAATTAACTTAAGAGGATACCTACACACACACACACACACACACACACACACACACACACACACACACACACACACACACACACACACACACACACACAGCGCCTAAACCATATTTATAATATTTTGTTATGTCTATGTTAGCACGCCCAAACCACGTTCGTGCTAGATGTTCAGTTTCATATATACTTATGTGTAAACATCTGTCCTGAATATTCCTCAGTTGTTGTTGAGACGGCCTAGCATACTTTCATATAAAATGTTGTTTCACAAATTTTTACATCTGACACAATTATGAAACATTAATTACATATTTAAGTGAAAAAAAAGTTATTCGAAACCGAATAAAATGTCCACGGTGCGCTACTATTATACAGATGAATGTAGAAAATTCACAACATTTTATTCTACATTGCACAAATACATATTACAAACAATTACGTGGCAAAAACCGAAAACGACAAATATGTAATTTTAAAATTAGTGCCTTAACAGGAACGTGGTTTGCACGTGCTAACATAGGCATAACAAAAATATGCCGTTTATTTTGTTATTGCATGCTATTAAATTTGCCACGCCAAGTATTTTTACAAACGGAATTATCAATGTACGCTGATACAGTTGTTGACTGGATACACTTTTGTCATGAGGTACGTTTTACAATTATACATTTACAACATAAACACATATCTTTTTCTCATATATATGCATAGCTTATAGCACAATGGTTATCAGACGGCGATAAGGAAATTGGCGGCCCAAATGTCATTGTCGAAATTGACGAAGCTAAGTTTGGTAGGCGCAAATAACATAGTGGACGTTTGATAAGTGATCAATAGCTATTTGGAGCAATTGAAAGAGGCGCGGGCTGTTTCTTCATCTTGCTTGTGAAAAAAAGATCAGCTAAATTCTTTCTAATACCTATCATTCATCGTCGTATATTACCAGGCATCATTTATAGTGATTACTGCATATCATTTGTTAACGAATTACAATTATGTTTATCGAACGGTAAACCATAGTGAAAATTTTGTGGATTCAATTATAGGAGTACATACACAAAATATAGAACGCTTTTGGCGTGATGTACAAGGAGGAATACCGCGATATGGTAATAAAAAAAAATATTATATATATATTATATAGCAAAATTCATTTTTAAACGAAAATATCAATATGAACGTATTGATAAATTTGTCGATATTATGGCTGCGTTTTATTCTGTAGAGAATTATAGAAGAAATTATAGAATCAATAAAATAATAATAATATAAGTATATGTTGGAAGTATTATATTGTTACGTACTGAGCTGTTGTTCACGGCGTATCGCTTCCCTTCCCGTATTTTTTCCTTCGGTTGCCGTCCACCGACGCTGAGGTTCGACCGACCGAACATGGTTCGCGTGGTGCTATATGCGTTGCGCAGCGGAGGCAGTGTGACTCCGGACTCGCCTCCCGTGGACCCCGCTTCTTCAGACAAGCTGAAGTTGGCTTTTGATTGATTCAACGCCGAATATTTCCAGAATCAAATCCGGGGCTTCACCATCTGGTGGGGGCAAGGGATGCATTCCTCCTCCGGGCTGACCCAATTCGAGTACCGCTACATCAAGATCAGCCGGACCATCCAGGACTACCTGAGCAAGAAGGAGTTGATGGAGACCATCCTGCACGAGATGATTCACGCCTGGCTTTTCTGCCGAGAAAAATTATTGAAGTTCTGCCTGTACCACGGCGGGTTATTTGTCCAGAAAATGGAGTGGATCAACCGCAGGGGTGGGTGGAACGTCACAGTCGATCACCTTACAGCAGACGACACACCGCCGCTCTTCGATCGACACGTGTGGAGGTGCCTCGATTGTGGTCACGAGATGCGGCTCCGTACCAATCGCACCCTACCGGACCTTTGGTATGGCCAGCACAAGCCGTACAGGACCCAAAGATGGAAGCGCGTCAAAAGGGCGGCAAAAGTATAGAGAGAGGAGTCATGCGCGCTGTAGATCTTTTTCCGAGTTATTCGGCCCCCTGGAGGAGGAAGTCGGTTTCCCCTGGAAAGTTGATGGCTCGGACTAAATAAAAGGGCTGGTCAGATACCCATGAAAATCCGGAGGGTAGAGGCCCAAAACGGATTCGAAGTCGTGGACGGTCCACCTAACTAGGAAGGGGGCGGCGTTGACTCCGGGTGCGCCGGTGCGTCATTGCGTCGGGTCGATAAGACTGCGTTCCCGCGTGAGGGGGCATAATTGAGTCGTGGTTATGCATCCTGTAAGGGAGAATGTGATAATTATATATTGACTTCCAGTGGGAAGAACTTCTTGCGGGTGTGTGCAGAGCGGTGAGGGAGCGATGAGTGTGGCAACGTTGCCCCCCCTTTTTTCCCCTACTGACGCGTGGAGGTGGGGGGACCGTGCTCCCGCGGTTGCGAGCCGGCGGCGAGACGCGAACCCCTGCCTCCTTCTGTTTCTGCTTTGAGCCACCGTCGAGTAAGGACGTGCAGGCGGTTTGCTCCCACGATTTCGTCCAGTCCTTAACCGTTCTTTGTGAGCGTGTGTATTCTTCCGGTGCGATATCAATTAATGGAGGTTGTTCTTTTGCATTCGTTTAGTTCGTATTTCAGTTTTGTTTTCTCGCCGCGCCCGTGAACTAGGGATGGGCGATGCAGTGAAGAATATAGATATTTTGTATCAATACGTATTGTATATACAGTATCGATATACCAAAAATATCGGATGGAATATATCGATATTAGTAAATATCGATACTCGATATTTCTATTAATAACTGCATTCCAATTAAATTATAATAAATATAATGCATAATATGTATTTATCTATTTGTATTTTATACGTTATTTGTGTTTGTTTATACAAATATATGAACTTATAAAACATATACATAAAGAAATCTACCTAATTAACTTATTTTTGTAAATTATTTTTGTTTTATATACATTTTACAAAAGAATTATGACTTCTATTCGCAGGACAACGCAACGCTTCCCGCGGCAGAAATTCGGGCAATAGCCAATAAAATGCGGAATTGCAAAAACTCCCTATTACAGAACTATTACAGAAAAGTAGTAATTACTACGGTAGAGTAATTAGCTATCGCCTGAATTTCCGCTTGCATCCTGTGGATGAAGCCATTACAATAACCAATCTTCTCCTGGCAGGCTATTTAGAAATAAAAGGTGTTGCAAATGTTCACCCGTTATACGGTTTCTATTTTCGATCATAATATTACCAGCCCGTGAAAATAATCGTTTACTCGGAACGGAAGTCGCAATTATACTTAAATATTTTAAAGCTAGCTCTTTTAATGCGGAATGAGTGTTCATTAGCCAATATCTAATAGGATTATCATCCATTTGTAATGGTGATTGATTTAAATATTACCTGAGCTCTTCCGCCATTGTTAAATCGTTTTTCGAGGAACGCTTTGTTTTAGTAACCAAATTTTCGTGAAAGGACCAAAAACTATCGATTTCTGTGAGATTGGTTTCTCGCTCGTTTATCACGTTACATTCATTTAGTTCTTCCATCTTTATGAGTTGCGTAATTTTGTTAATGGTAAAAGCGTACGCATCTTCATTACAAAAATGAGTGTTTTTGAATCGAGGATCTAGAATGGTTGAAATTGCCAGTGGAAGGATTTTCTCAATATCATTAAACCTTTTTACGAATTGATGTTCCAATTGACGTTTGAAATAAATACCTATTTCACTAGTCGGTACAAGTACGTTTAATTTGTTTCTTAATGTATTAACGATTGAAATAACTTTGCTATCAGTTTGATAATGTTCACCGCATATAATTTTAGTAGCTTCGTCAAACGGTTTTAATAACAAAACAAATTCTTTTGCAGCGTGCAATTCAGATGCCATCAACATTATTGGTGCTGTAGGTTGTCGCAGAAGAATATTATTCACTTTATCTACCAATTCAATAAATCGTTCAAGCATGTCGTAAGTCGAATTCCATCTAGTTTCGACACTTTGTATTAACGTGAGAGTTGTCTGAGCTCGCAATGCATCTGCAGCAACCACAGAGTGTTTAAAGTACGTCACAATAGCTTTTATTTTTTTACAGAATTCCCTAACAGTATTGTCATCTTTAATAATGCTCGATGGAATTAAATTTAATGTGTGTGCGAAACACGGTAAATGTTTTTCAATACCAAACGCTTCTACAATTGCCTTTTTTATGTTAGCCGCATTATCCGATACAACGATTACAATATTGTCTTTATTTATATTCCAATTACGTATCATGTCTAACAACCACATTTTTATATTTTCAAATGTATGTCTGTCGTTTAACTCAGTAACACCAATAGTCACAGATTTATATGTTTCTGTTAATATATAATGAGCTGTGAGGCCTAAAAAACTTTTTGTATTCAATGTATCCGTCCAAATATCGGTTGTTAAACATATATTTGTAATGTTTGAAAATCGAGTTTTTATTATACCTGATAAAAGCTCATATTTTTCTTCTACTAGACTCGAGATTTGTTTTCGGCTGGGAATAGTATACAACGGCGCTACTATTTTCATGAAAGTCCTTCCTTTTCCATTGTTGCAAATGGCAAATTATCTTTTGCAATCATAAAAATAAGATAATTAGTAAACTCGGCTTCTTTTCCTCCATTTACAATTAAAAAAGAAATCAAAATAAGATAATTGATATTGTAACTTATTTTACGAATGATAAACATTTATTTTAAAATGTAAAAAATTTTAAAGAATAAAATTTATATAAATACCATTAAATGACTTTTGGTTTTGGAAAGTGTAATCAAGAGTAGACTGCTTCTTCTTCACACTTAGTAATGATGCATTTGATGCTTCTGATGGTGAGTGATCTGATAGATTTGACATGACTGATGATGCCACAGAAGCAGGAGATGGAATAGGTTGCGCCATAATTCAAAATTGTCATTTGGATTATCTTCATCAATTTCATCCTGTGGTTAAAATGTATAGCATACAAAACTTTAAACATTAGTAATATTATTTTAAATTATATCATAATAAACATAATGTAATTATTAGTTACTTAATTAGTAAATGTTAGTTAATGTAAATGTTAGTTTTCCGTACAAAATGTAATTATATATTTATTATCAGTTTTTTCTGTTTTGTTAAGGTTGAGGATTCTGTAGCATCTGTTATATTGGTATCAGCTTCACTTCTCTTCATTTCAAATTGAAGCGTAGGATGTTTTCGTATTAGATAAAAACGTAAATTCGTTGTATTTCCCGAAGATTTTATATTCTGTTGGCAAATGTTACATTTGCTACCTTCACTGATTCGGAAAAAATATTTCCAATAATTGCTTTTGGACACCGGCATTGTACACAAAAAACAGATGTAGAAAGAATACTTATATGATAATGAATAATACATGTAAGTTAGGTAATGTATGAGATAAGTACTGGTATAGAATAAACAAGAGCATGAAACGAGGAGAGTAGCGATGTGGACGTGCGAACAATAAGGTTAGGATTTCTTCTCAGGTTCCACTTCAGTTCTCAAATTCAATAATTAATATATTATATATATGCATAGTGCGATATCATGCATGTACGTTATAACTTCTGAAAAACGTAGAAACTATTATCAAATAGTAATCAATATACGCATACACCCTCCCCTTCAACACACACACTCAAATACATACTGCAATAACACAATACGAAATGCCAATCCATGCAAACATAAATATCCGTTTCAGAAGAAGTGACAATTATTTAATTATTTTTACTATTATGCTTAAGTAATAATAAATGAAAACAAAGCGCATACGTCTCTATTTTTATTCCGTCCGACTATTGATTGTCGATCGCTTTTTCCATGTGTATGCAGAACTGTGAATGATGGATCTACGAATAATAAAACGAGGCCTATAATAGGAATGACTTCTGACTGACCGGTGGAGTCAGATGGTAGCGTTCATTAACCAATCATGATATAGAAATCTTACTTGTTTCTGTCCTGATTGGTCAATTGAATCTTATAGCTCCCACATACGGGACGCGGCGGCGCGACTGCTTTGCCGCTTTGTTACAGCGCCGCGTTGCCGTCTCCTGTATGTGAGAGCCACTATTCTACTCCAATGATGTTGACTCGAGCCTCCGCTTGCTGGCGTTTTTTCCCCACCACTTGCGCACGCAGAGGCGCTCGGTCTATCCATGTGAAAACGCTCTCATACGGATGGGCCGAACGTCTCTGTGTGCGTGGATGGTGGAGGAAGAACGCTGGCAAGCGGGGACTCGAGTTAATATCACTGCTCTACTCATCGAGTAAGATTTCTGAATGTGCTTCAGACTATCGAAAGTTCGATATTGCTGTTCACGTATCGATACATGCCAATATCGCAAAGTTTAATATCGATACAAAATATCGATATTTGAACTTAAAATATCGCTATTTAAAAATCTCGATACAGTATCGCCCATCCCTACCGTGAACCTTATTTATGTTTCCATTCGAGGATAATTCAGGCCGCCATATCCGTTAATTTTCTTTATAACACAGATGTAAAATATATATACGTTCTTCTACAAATTTACGTTCCGAGTTTCATCAGGCGCCTTGCCTCAAATAAACAGTTGAGTCTGGAACCGGTGTATATAGTTTGTTCCCGACACGGGAGAAATCTTTTCCCCGTTCCCTCATAAACTCGAGGCCCTCCTCTCACGGAACCGGCGGAGTGGCTGCACGAAACCATTCGCCTCCATCGAAGGACGAGAGGAAGCCTAGCCAGAACAGACGTCCTGCCGTTGTCGCTTGGCCCTCCCCCTTCCTCCTGGTAAGTAAGGCGGTAAGCTCGGACGCTCTATCTTTTCTTTCTTCCTTATTCATAGCCGCGAGTTTTGTACTCACGCGAACTGATGTTTTTCCTCGATTCCGCGCAGACAAGGCAGATATCCCCTCGATCCTTCGGTGATCGGAAGAGCCCAAACGCCCGAGAAA